GCATGGTGGCTCAACGAGGCTGGCAGCTTGAAGGTCTCGATATGCAAACAGCATTCCTCCAAACGGGCAAGACTGAAGAAGCCCGGGAGATTTGGACCTATGGTGTCCCAGAGCTCAAACAAGCTCTTGGTGCTGAAGAACATGAAGTTCTTCGAATCCTCAAGAACGTCTACGGCAACTCCACAGCACCTCGAGGACTCTGGGAAGATGTTGACCGCACCTTCACAAAGCTTGGTGGAAAGAGGATTTTGGGCGACTCATCATTTTGGGTCTGGACTCGCCCGAACCCCAATCCTCGAAATGAAGGTGACCAGTTCGAAACCATCGGATTTGTTGGCGGCCACGTCGACGACTTCAACAGAGCCGGCAACCTCGAATGTGAAGAATGGCTCAAAGTCCGCCAAGAGATCGACAAGGCCTACAAGTGGGGAACGGTCAAAACCCAAGAGTACCGTCACACAGGCCTGGATCTACAAGTCTGTGAACGACAAGGTCAACGATGGGTTCAGCTGAGCCAGGACTTCTATGTCGAGACGATCCCCGACCTGGCCATAGACGACCACAGACTTCGAGGAGACCTTCAACAAGAAATGTCACCAGCCGAAATGGCAGCATGTCGCGCTTCACTTGGCGCCTTGCAGTGGGTTGCTACACAAACCCAATTGCAAATATGTGCCCGAGTGAACCTCCTGCTGACCGAGCTCACCGTCCTAAAGACCCTGCAGGTTGCAAAGGAAATTCGAGACCTCATCATCGAGGTACGCAGGGAGCCTACAACATTGAGAATGTGGAGGCTGGACGATGTTGAGCACTGGCAGGACACCACTGTGGTGACGCTGGCAGACCAAGCCCATGCAAATCGCCCCAAAGGCGATAGCACCGGCGGCCTCATCACCTGTTTGGGTGGCAAGGCCCAAAATCGAGGCGAGCCTGGAAAGCTCAATGTGGTGGCATGGCGCACTTGGCGCCTATGCCGCAAGGCCATCTCGACAAATGATGGCGAAATCCAGTGTACCCTGGAGGGAGAAGATCACAACTATAGATCAAGATTGCTTTGGTGCCAGCTAAACGGATGCTGTGCACTACCTCCAGGAGATCAACTGGCACGAGCAAACTTCATGATGAAGTTCCTCAATGGCATTGTGGCCACTGACAGTAAAGGTGGCTTCGACGCTGTGACCCGCAGCGAGGGGCCAATGTTGGGGCTAAGCAACGCCCGAAGCGCCTTACAGGCATACCAACTCCGTGAACAACTTCAAGAATCTCTTTGCCGACTCATATGGATCTCCGGAGATTGGAACCTGAGCGACGCCCTCACAAAGAAGCCCAAGGCAGCTCGTGAAGGACTCAACCAGTTTCTGAAAAGCTGCATTTGGCGGCTCAGATACGACCCGCAGTTCATCCAGAGCGAGAAGAGGGCAAGGCAGCAAGGCAAAAGCGCAGTGGCCCAAATGAGAGAGCTTCAATGCTTGTGCCCTGGCTACCTCCCCGACAACTTCGAGGGCATGATGGTGGACGCTCTCGAGGACACTGAGGGAGAAGCGCTCTAAGCTCGCAAAGCCAAAGAAAACTTTGAGCTGATGCGATAGCGGTTTTTCCATGTTTGGCTTTCATGCTCGCATGAACCTTTGCACCTGGCCTTTCAGGCCTTGAGCCCCGGCTCAAGCAGCGGAAAAGGTCGCTTGGCGCGACCCTCGTGTTCGCTTCGGCCACTTGGTGTGGCTTCGCCATTCGCTGCGCTTCGACTACGTGGTTTGGTTGGCTTAGGGCACCCCTAAAGCCCTATTTGGCTACCGCAGCATTCTAACTTTCAGTCCGGCAGTATACTTGGTTTAATGATGTTTATAGAATGAAATTTGGCTGATCTATTGGTTGCTTCCCGCAAACCCAGCCATCCATCCAGCAGATTTATGGATAGAAATGGCTGTCCAATCGGCTCCATTGCTGCTTCAGTCGCTGATGGCGCCTGGATGGGGATGGAACACACCACCCGTCGTTGCTTCCGTTCCTGGAGCCCAATTGACATGACCATCGATTGGTATTGTAGGGGGCAGTGCCATCTGCTGAGAAGAATACGTTGCCATCAGCACAGCTGTCCGCTGTCCACTTCGTTGGTCCAGTTGGTCCCTCCACCAGCATTGGCGGACGACAGCCCGGCGTTGGACAGCCCGGCGCGAGGTCGCATTTTTAAAAAAATACAAACACCCGGAGGGCCCTGTTCCAGCCAGACGTGTGGATTGGTAGGCAGTTGCGTTGGCCAACCATTGGCCGTTTCCAATGTTTTTCCACCTTCAAGTGCTTGTTTGACTGAGCAAGATTCTCAGAATCAGGAACAGTTTGCACCAGAGTTTGGGAATTTGAAGCCCCGAAGAGAACATAAGAAAAGCTTCTCATGAAAGCCGGTCATTTGGACGAGTGGATGCCGGTCATTTGGACAAATCTCTTTACACTCTGACCAACATGGAAGTGGATGGCATGGTCTCTTCGAAGACAGCTGTCCTGGACGAACAGGGCACTCCACGTAACCATGCAGCGCGACAGAGGGTATGTCTTCCAAGAGAGGTTGAACAGCCTTATAGCCCATCCCATAATTACGTACCACTATGGGGTCCTATAAGGTCTCTCAACCTCTCTTGGTTCTACCAAACAAATGCCGGGTGCCCCGGTGCCCGCGCTCCCCCCACCCCTTGAGGCCGCTGAAGAGGACCCAGAGCGGTCCAGTGACACCAAGCGGCAGCGAGCCTTGGACACCGACGCGGAAAGCGACGCGGAACGCACGCACGGCGCGTGAAGGGGCCGGAAAAGCAACGTGGCAGGGAGGAGGCGGACAGGCGAGGGACGGTGTGGAAGACGTGTGAGGCGGGTGGATGGGGTCACCCTTTGGCTCTTGGTGCCTCGGCATGCCTCGGCTTCCAGTTCAGCAGCGCCCATTTTGAGAGGAACATCCAAGCATCTCGAAGCACACCCGGCAGAGAGAGAGAGAGAGAGAGTGTCCACGATGGGTTGTTGTTTTTGTTTATTCTATATGTATAGTATCCGCAGGTCCATGCAAGGATCCAGATCCATGCCCAGTTACAACTGTTCAAAGTTGGTTCAGTCACGACAAAAATTACAAAGTTGGTTCGAACCATCGCTCGCACCCAGGAGATCACAGCCTCAACCGGAAGCGCTTTGAGCCGCCGGCGCCCACGAGTGCACCGATCTCCACAGAGGAAGTGCCCTCGTCGCCATCGTCCCCCTCTGCACCTCCGATGACCCCAGAGCGTGAGCTGCGAGACGAGGACGTGGCGAAGCGCGCGCGGACGAGGCCGAGGAGCTTGTCGGGAACATCACCTGCGCCTTGGATCGAGATGGGTTCCTGTAGATCACATCGCCCTTTTCATCTTTTTTTGGCAGTCTAGGCAAGTACAAACTATATAGTAATATGATATGATATGATACGTGCTCATTAGATCATAATTAGTATAGGTGCCTCTCTTTTGCTCCACCCCTTTTCTTTGCTTAGCCTCTCTTTTGCTCCACCCCTTTTCTTTGCTTATGCCAAAAGAGAAGAAAGGCGGCTCCGGCTCAGAAAATAATCAATCATGCCCCATCTGGCCACTTCATCTCTTACATGATTTAGGCCAGAAGGAACAAGTCATTCTATCTGGCAATTCCAAAAAATATTCCTATATATATATATTCCCATTTATATTCCTATATATATATATATTCCTATCTGGACATTCCTATATATTCCCATTTGCCTAAGTCATTTCGGATCATTCCTATATCTTGTTCCTTTTCTATCCGACACCCGAGGCCTTGCCGCCTAAGGGCCGTCCCGCGCCACGCGGCCGCCACCGCGCCGCGCTGGCGGCCGCGGCGGTGCTGGCAGAGGAGGCGATGGGACCAGCTGCTGAGGTGCGGGCGCGGTCCTACACGAGGCGGGGAAGTTGGACGTTGGGGTGGTGAAGAGTAGGGATTCTTTGTTCTATTCCTCTCCCAAAGGCCCTGAATTCGCTCCTCTGACAGCCTGGACTGCCTGCCTTACTGCAGTCCAAGCCTCTTCCAAGAACCCCATAGCAGCAACGATTTCGCCAACCCTGTGGCTGAAAATGCCCCAATTGACCTAGGCCTTCCACTGAAATGCGGTGTAATACTGCAGGTCCTGCCGGACCATCGACCTACGTCCTAGACCATGTCCTTCGCCCAGGCACCGCGCAGCCATCCTGGAGGGCCGTGCCTTGTGGGACTCCGAGCCGCCCTCACACGCACCGCCGCGGCGCGCCCAGTCGGTGCCCACCGCCGAGCCGGTGCCGGGAACGGTGGGAACGGTGCCCTGTCGGGAGCAGCCACGGAGCAGCGGTCGCGCCGGAGGCCGCGCAGTGAGAGGAACAAGATCGGGTGCCTTGCATGAGGCTCGAAAGGACTGTTGATCCAAGTTGGAAGTTGCTGGAAGCCATGGATTTTGGTAGTTTTGCTGCTCGGACACAGTGGATGATCAGCAGTCCAATAGTGTTCCTTTTTTCATCTTTTTTCTCAAAAGGGCGACCCTATCCTCACCCTGCTTCTTTAGCAAAATAGACGATATTCAATACTTGTGGGGTAGGCCTTTTGTTTTGAAAAAGTGCGTGAGCCCATGAGCCCTAAGTTTGCTTTTGGCAATCAGCCTGGCTTGCTTATTTCAAAGGAAAAGCAGTGCCGCGGCTGCAATAACAAGCTCCGGATATTCTTCGTCGGAGCTACCCATATACTAGATGGAGGCTGCTTGTACAGCCTGCTTGCCTCTTTCCATTCCAGTTCAAATCTGACACGTAGCAGCCGCTGGAGATGATGTGTGGGTTGCTTTCCAACCATCCATTGTCAGGACGGACAATTTTCTAGTTGAATTTCAATCCATGGCCCACGCAATTCACAATCCCTTCAGTGGAATTGTTATAAGTTGGATTTCCATTGTGACAATGGACGCAAAAAATGAAATATTGT